AAAAAAAAAGAGAAAAAAAGAAACCTTTTATTTGTTTAAAGCTGAGTGCTCTGACGGCTAGCAAACCGCCCTGAGTGGCCACTGGGATTCCTTTTTCCCAGGGGTGCTTTGCTCTCTGTCAGAGTGGAATTGGCCCATCTAACAAAATTTATGTCTATGTTTATTAATTTGAAGGTATGAAGTTGTATATTTTGTAGGCCACTTGGTCCTTGTGTATGTGTGTCAACTCTTAAGTTATAGTTTTAAAATCAGTAATATTAATGGGAAACACATGCAGAGGAGCTTTTCAGAAAGGTCAGGGAGTCTGATTACAGTATAGAGGTCACCGGTTCCCCCCATGCCACCTTTGTCAGAGGAGACAAAGGACTTTCCCAGCGGACTGCCAGATGAAAATACCTCGCTTGGTGGGAGCTCCTCCTTTGCCACCTGTCTCCACCCACTGGGTGTCTATTCCCTCCAGGGCTTGTTTAGAATAGCTGGAGGTGGCGGCTGAGGTGAGGAGAGAAATTCCTTTGTGACCCCCTGCACCCCAATGAAACCCAAAACCCCCTATGACTGCTTGGACACTTTTCACCTTGTTCTGTTAGGGGGCTTAAAGGCACAGTTAGAAATTCTCCCATTCTCCTTTTTCAGGCTTATTAGAACCTGAGATCCTTATCTGTAGGAAAAATGTGGCAGTTTAAATTTCAAGCTGCTAGAGGCCTGGGAACAGGGTGCTGGGCCTGCTCCCTCCTCCCTCTGCCTTTTCTAAATATTTTAAAATAATAGGAGGTTTTCGGGTGCGGCCAGGCCCTGAGCAGCAGCTGCCAGGCTGGAAGCGGCCAGGTCGGGAGCGGCAGTGGCCAGACCTGGAGCAGCTGGTTGTGGAACGTACCAGAGCAACAGAGGCCAGGCCCAGAGCAGCCAGGCCCGGAACAGCTGGCTCCTCCCCTGCCTCTGCCCCAAGGCTGCCTCTCAGACATGGCTGGAAACTTTTGGGGGAACTTGAGGGTCTACTGAATCAAATGAGGAAGGCTTAGATCTGGATGTGTTGAGTTAGTATAGGGCTGGGGTGTTGATCTGTGAGTGCCTTGTGTGGGGCCTGGATGAGGTTGGTTGATCTATTTGGAAATATCTTTTGTGTGAAGTGTATCCCTGGGCATGTGGAGGTATTATTGATTTGAGAAAATGCTAAGTAACTGATTTACTATCTGAAAAATTTAAAGTTCTGAAAGTTTAAGGTCTCTTGCCAAAAAGAGGTTTTAAAGCTAACACCTTAATTTTAATGGAGAAAGGGAATGACAAGCCCTTCCTACCCAGAACAGGTAATCCAATTCCAACCAGCAGCTATCTTTAAACAATGTGTCCATTTATACTTGAAGGGCTACACCTTTTGATAGTTTAAGGGCAAGTTTACATGTAAACAAGTTTGCTCTCAATTCCCAGGGCAGAAAAAAAACAAGGTTTAAAATTATTAGATTTTAAAATTTATTCTTAGAAGTGTAAAAGTTTATTAATTAAAACAACAACAACAACAACAACAACAAAAGGAGATTGAAAAACCTGATGAACAATAATAGCGGTTCATTGTAGTAGAGTCGGTGATATGGGAGGGGAGTGTACTGACTGTTCTCAGGGAAAGGGAGGGAGGAAGAGACTGAACATAAACTGTGCATCTATGGATGAGGACAATGGGGGGTGGGGAGGGGGCGGAGGATGGGGTGGGAACCTGGTGGAAGGGGGAAGAAATGAACCTTTGTAATAATATGAACAATAAAGATTGATTTAAAAAAATAATAGGAGGTTTAAGGCATGGTTATGAATTTTTGAAGGACATAGAAAGGTTTAAAGGCTAATGTGAAATATTGAAGGCTTTTGTGAAGGTTGTGCATGTGATGAGAAGGGGAACAGAGAAAGGTTTGAAAGGAAGAGAAAACCAGCAGCAATAGGAAGGAATTATGATGCCTATTGTAGGAAGCAGGGGCACTGAAAGATAGGATGTCCTGCCAGGTTAGCTAGAGAGGCAAGAAGAGAGACTTAGACTCCAAGGGTTGTTTTTTTTGTTTGTTTTGTTTGTTTGTTTGTTTTAACTTAGAGGAAGAAGACTCTACAGGACCGGGGCTCCTTTCCATTAAGCCCCCACTGGTAACCTTACAAGTGAGAGGCAAACCTATTAGTTTTTTTTGGTGCACACTGAGTCAGTATATTCAGTCTTAACAGAGCTGATGGGACCTCTAAGAAGATATCAGTCCAGGGAGCCACCAGACAAACTGCCTATTTTCTTTGGACATCAAAAAGGACTGTGGACCTTAGAAGAAACATATATTGAGGAACACAGCCGCTGAACTGGACCAAAGTGGAACAATGGGCCTTTGAGGAGCTAAAGAAGGCTCTCATCTCAGCACCTGCCCTAGCCTTGCCAGATGTCATAAAGCCCTTCCACCTCTACATGAGTGAGGTAAGGAGCATTGCCAAAGGAGTTCTCACTCAGACTCTAGGTCCCTGGAAGAAACCTGTTGCCTATCTGTCTAAGAGACTAGACCCTGTGGCAGCAGAGTGGCCAGTGTGCCTCTGGGCAGTGGCCACCACAGCATTGCTGGTGAAGGACGCAGATAAGCAGACTCTGGGCCAGGAGCTAGCACTAACAACACCCCATGCCATAGAGGCCCTCCTTTGAGGTGCTCCAGAGAGATGGATATCAAACACCAGAATCATCCAGTGCCAAGTTCTTCTCCTGGACCAGCCCTGCATCCAGTTCCATAAGACACTGGCCATCAACCCTGCCAGCCTACTTCCAGATGATCCAGAGGAACCCATTAATGACTGCATAGAGGTAACAGAGACAGTACTGACAGATGTCCTGCTATCATCACCAGATGAGGTACTGTACACTGATGAGAGCAGTTACGTTCAGGATGGGATCTGATATACAGGGGCAGCAGTAGTCACTCTGGACCACACCATTTGGGCACAGTTCCTGAACTTTTGGCCTTAATCCAGGCCCTTTGATGGGGACACAGTGCCATCCCCAGGGAAAGAGGGTTACCAACTCCAGCCAGAAAGGACATTATTTTAGCCTTATTTGAGGCCATCTGACTCCCAAAGGCAGTTGCAATAGTGCACTGCAAAGGACATCAGAAAGGGGAGACAATTGAAGCCAGAGGAAATAGAGCTGCAGAACAAACTGCTAAGGAAGATGCCCAAAAAAACCAATGGGACCTTTACAAGTCTTAGTAATCCTGCCGGACCCCCACCTCTACCAAACTAGAGGAGGAATTGGCTAAACAGAAGCAAGCCATCAAAGGACCAGATGGTTGGTGGACCCTACCAGATGACAGACTGTAGGTCCTAGAGGCTCTGGACGTTAGTTGCCCAGTTACTCCAAGTTACCCACTTAGGTGTCACCAAGACTTCTAAACTTCTGTGAGGCAGATACTATCAAGCTTAAGTAAGATAATTAAAAGCCTAGTTGCTAGAAGTACTGTCTGTATACAGGTAAATGCTGAGGTAGGAGGGTCTCCCTGGGAATTCAGGCCCCAGAAAAATTCCCCAGGGGAGCATTGGGAGGTGGATTTCGCAGAGATTAAGCCACCAGCATTGAGGTACAAGTACATGCTAGTTTTTATAGACACCACCTTAGGTTAGGTTGGAGCATACCCCACTAGGACAGAAACTGCCTCTATAGTAGTCAAGAAAATACTCCAGGAGATTATACTTAAATTCAGATTCGGGCTGCCAGTAGTCTTAGGATCAAATAACAGCCCAGGCTTTGTAGCAAGGTATCTCAAATTATAGCTCAAGCCTTAGGACAGACATGAGCAGACTCTAAAAAGTTTAATTGAATTTGTCCTGGAAACCGGTGAAAACTGGACCAACCTCCTGCCCTTTGCCCTCTTGTGGGCCAGGTGTACCCTCTACCGGGAGAGGGTCCGCCCCCCTCCCCTTTTGAGATCATATATGGTAGACCTCACTTCATCCTTCCTGGGGTTAGGGAGAAACTGAAAGTTGGAATTCATAACCATTCCCTTGCTCAAGTCCTTATAGGCTCTGCAGTTTACCCAGAGAGCCACCCATAAGCTTGTTCCAGATGCACTGCCAGTGCCCACCTAAGACCCTGTACACCCCTTCCAGCCCAAGAACTCAGTATGGGTAAAGAAGTTCACTGCCCAAGGACTCACCCCAATCAGAAAAGGACACTACACTGTTACCCTGAGCACACCCACAGCTGTTGAAGTAGACAACACCCAGACCTGGCTACACCACTCTCAGCTCCTGCACAGAAAACAGCCTGAATCCTGGCAACCAGCAGCCTCACCAGTGAGATACCTAGCCTGGGCTCCACACAGGCCAGGAGGAGACTTGATGCCTGCAGGAGGGGAATTAGACTTCAGTGAGGACAGTACTAATGAGAACTGTGGAACTAGGGTTCTTGATAACTGTAAGAACATTTCTCTTAACCAGTGAGAAAGTCAGGGTCTAAGTAAGGCTAAATGTGCTAGGGGACTGGAGAGCAAGAACCAAACAAAGAATGCCCTTAAAGGAAGTAGGATGAGTCAATGATTTGACTCATGCACATAAAACCAGGGGGAATGAAATATGGTCACAATCATACTTGGGTAAAAACTGCTGTTTGAATTTTAACCCTACTATTATGAATTCAAATTCTAAGCAAGGTTACAGGCAGAACTTCCTTTTTTTTTTTTTAATTAAAGCGCCAGCCCTATGTGCACTTAGTGGTTATTTCGATGCTGGCCTTGACACCTGGCATGGTATTGAGATTGTGGGCATATCTGGTCTCTGGCCTACAAGGTCAGACAGCAACATTTTGTCTAGGAAGAACAGCAGAAAATTCCAAACAACAGTTTGTTGCAAAATAGATGTTTTCCTTCTCAGAACCTTTAAAAAGAACTACCTGCCCCCATGGCAGTGCAGTCGTGTGGAGTCCACCTGCATGTGGTGCTCTTGCGGCTGTCCTAGCTAGATATTTCAATAAATCTTTGCCTGCTTTTTTAAATAAATCATCAGCCTCCAGTGTTCTTATTTTGAACCCAGGGTTCGACCCCACAACAATTAAGAAAGCACTTTCAAATACTTTCATTGATTCTTTCATGTATATCTTAATATCTCTAAATTTACATACTGCTACATCATGAATTTTTAGTTTTAGGCATATCTATTGATTTGCCTGTTTGGAAGTTGAAGATTTGGTACTCTTTCAAACAAATATAAAAATCTCCAAAATCTCTCAATTCCCAATATAATTATATTTAGTTTAAATCATTGTTTACATTATCATGATTATACTATAGGCCTGTTGCATGAAGATTCCTGCAATAGGCCTTCCTTCCTTTGGCTGCTGGCACCTGTTTCTTCTGGCACCCAGGTCTTCACTCTGGCCGCAGGGGAGAAGCCAAGTTTCTTCAGTCTTCATTCTTCAGTCCTCAGTCTTCACTTGGACCAAAGACTACAGTCTTTACTCTGAGCCCATGTAAGCAAATTAACCCGTGATCTTTGTTGGTATAATTTGCATGCACACTCCTGATTGACTGGTGGGAATCACAGAGGTACACTTAATTTGCATATTTCTCTTTTATTAGTGTAGATAGTAAATTTTGACTATTTTTCCTTCACTTATACAACATTTATTTTCTCCGGGACTACAAATAGTCTGAGGATTAAAAGTTAGATATATTTTTCTGCATATATTTTATTTGTTTTTATTATTTTATTCTGTGTATTTATTTATTTTCTTTTTTTATTAAGGTATTATATGTGGAGAGGGGATCCAAGATGGCTGCATAGGTGGATGCCTAACCGTAGCCTCACACAACAATTTCAATAAAATACAACTAAAATACAAAATAGACATTACCCAGAACTACAGGAAAGTCGGCTGACTGGAAATTCTACAACAAGAAGGAAACAGAAAACCAGAAGGAAAAGCAGAGGAGCTGTAAAAGCCTAAGGTACAGAGCCATGCTGCATGTGCAGAGAGGAAAGAGCCAGAGAGGAAGGGCGGCCGAGTGCCTGGATGGCGTTCCCTAGCAGAAAGGAGATAAAAGTTCAGGACTGTGCTGAACCCCAGATCCGGCAGTGCTGAACCCCAGTTCTAGGCCAGACTCTGGGGACCCAGGCTCATATAGAGGTAGCCTGGGTTGTAAGGCGGAATCTCAGGGGAGCGACGAAAGGCAGAGCCCCTGGAGGCGCACACATTGCGGCAGAGGACAGAGTGTTGACTCTGCTGCTAGATTGTCCTAGCAGGAAGGAAACAAAAGCTCCGGACTGTGCTGAGCCCCATTTGCGACTGCACTGAACTCCAGTTCTTGCCAGACCCTGGAGACCCAGGCTCATACGGAGGGAGCCTGGACTGTAAGGCGGAAACCCAGGGGAGCAGCAAGAGGAAGTCCTGGAGGCGCACTATTGTGCGCAGAGAACAGATGGTTGGCTGTGCCGCTGATTGCCCTAGCGAGAAGGAGACAAAAGCTCCAGACTGCTCTGAACTCCACTTCCAACTGAACGGAACCCCAGTTCCGGGCTCAGTGGGGGAGAGCCTAGACTGTTTGGTAGCGGGCAAAGCTCAAGGGCACCTTTCTCTCAGAGGTGCTTGCAGTGAGTACCGAAGGACCCTGAGGAACACTGAGACTTGGGAGCCTCATAGGGAATTGCTGAGGGAAGCCAAGGCTGTAGGCTCAACCCTGAAACTCCACGCCATCCAAGTTGAACACAGAGACTTTTAAGGCTACCAACTCAGGGAAGCTGCGAAAATGCTGAGACAAGGAAACAGATCAGAAACAAAAGAAATGGAGGACAAAAAGATATAGAGTTCAAAACTATGCTTATAAGGTTTTTCAAGAATTTCCTAGAAAAGGCCAATAAATTAAACAAGACCTATGAAGATATGAAAAGGAATCAAATATTATAGAAATAATAAGGGATCCACAAGAAATAATAAGGGATCAACAAGAAATAAAGAATACATTGTCTAAAATAAAAAATATTATACAGAGTTCTAAAAACAGAATGGAAGATCTCAAGAATCAAATCAAAGATTTGGAACATAAAGAGCCAGAGGACACTCCTCCACAGAAGCAAGAAGACAAGAGAATCCAGAAAGTTGAAGATAATGTAAGAAACCTCTGGGACAACTTCAAGTGAACCAACATCAGAATTATGGGGGTCCCAGAAGAAGAGAGAGAACAAGATACCGAAAACATATTGGAAGAAATAGGGACAGAAAACTTCCCCCACCTGGTGAAAGAATTAGACTTACAAGTCCAGGAAGAGCACAGAACCCCAAACAAAGGGAATCCAAAGAGGATCACACCAAGACACATCATAATTAAAATTCTAAGAGCAAAAGACAAAGAGAGAATATTAAAAGCAGCAAGAGCAAAGCAGGTAGTTACCTATAAAGAAGCACCCATACGATTGTCAGCTGATTTCTCAACAGAAACCATGCAGGCCAGATGGGAATGGCAAGAAATATTCAAGGTGATGAATAGCAAGAGCCTACAGCCAAAAATAAGCTACCCAGCAAAGCTATCACTCAGAATCGAAGGCCAGATAAAGAGCTTCACTAATAAAATAAAAAAATAAAAATAAAATTAAAAAAAAAAGGCTAAAGGAGTTCATCACCACCAAACCAGAAGTATAGGAATTGCTGAAGGGGGTTCTTTCGAAAGAGAAAGAAAATAAAGTTAAAAATTAAGAACAACAAATACATAACTATCAACAAGTGAATCTAAAAAAAAGGGGGGAATTTAAAAAAATTTGATGAACAATATTAACTGTTGAATATAATAAAATCGGAAGTATAGAAGGGGAGTGAACTGATGATTCTCAGTTAAGGAAAAGGGGAGTGGGGGGGTGTAGGAAGAGACTGAACATAAACTGTGCACCTATGGATGAAGACAATGGGGGGTGGGGAAAGGGCAGAGGGTGGGGTGGGTACCTGGTGGAGGGGAGCAATGGAGGGGGGGGGGAAATGAGGAACATTTGTAATAATATGAAAAATAAAGATTTATTTTAATAAAAGTTATTGTATGCGTACATATCTTACCATTGCCCCACCCACCCCACTCCCATGCATGCCCTCACTCCTTAGTGTTTTATGTCCATTGGTTATGCTTATATGTATGCATACAAGGCCTTTAGTTGATCTCTTATCTCCCTCACCTCTACATAAACTTCCCGCTGTAATTTAACAGTCTGTTTGATGCTTTATTGCCTTGTATCTATTTTTTTGTTCATCAGTTTATAATGTTCATTATTATCCACAAATGAGTGAGATCATGTGGTATTTTTCTTTCATTGACTGGCTTATTTCACTTAACATAATGTTCTACAGTTTAATCCAGGTTCCTGCAAATGGTAAGAATTCCTTCATTTTTATGGCAGCATAGTATTCCATTGTGTAGATGTACCACGGTTTTCTAATCCAGTCATTGGCTGATGGGCACCTAAGCTTTTTCCAAATCTTAGTTATTATAAATTGGTCTGCTATGAACATAAGGGTGCATATATCCTTTCTGAATGGTGTTTCCAGTTCCTTAGAACATATTCCAGGTAGTGGAATTACTGGGTCAAATAGGAGTTCCATTTTTCGTTTTGTTTTTTGTTTTGTTTTTTGTTTTCAGGAAACTCCATAGTGTTCTCCACAGTGGCTGCACCAGTCTGCATTCCTGCCAACAGTGCCCAAGGGTTTTTTTTTTCTCCTCATCCTTGCCAACACTTGTTGTTTGTTGATTTTTTGAAAATAGTCATTCTGACAAGTGTGAGATGATATCACATTGTCATTTTGATTTTAATATCTCAGGTAATTAGTGACTTTGAGCATGTTTTCATGTGTCTCTTGGCCTTTCTTCTGTCTTCTTTTGAAAAGATTCTATATAGGTCCGTTGCTCATTTTTTTAATTGGATCACTTATCTAGTTGCCTGTAGATGTTGGAGATTAAACCTTAATCAGTGATAATATTTGCAAGAAGGTTCTTCCATACAGTGGGATTTCTTATTGTTATGTTGATGAAAAAGCTTTTTATTTTTCTGTGAAAAAGCTTTTTATTTTGTAGAAGTCCCATTTGTATATTTTCATTTTAGCTTCCATTGATGTAGGAACAGTGTCAGTGAAGAAGTTCTTTTGGCATATGTCTGAGATTTTGCTGCCTATGAATTTCTCTAGTGTATCTATCATTTCCAATCTTACTTTTAAATCTTGTATCCATTTTGAGTTTATTATTGTGTTTGGTGCAAGTTGGTGATCTAGTTTCATTTTTTTACATGTATCTGTCCAATTTTTCCAACACCATTTATTAAAGAGACTGTCTTGATTCCATTGTATGCTCATGCCTACTTTGTCAAATATTAATTGAGCATAATGGTTTGGGTCAATATGTGGATTATATACTCTATTCCATTGGTCTATATGTCTGTTCTTGTGCCAGCACCAGGCTGTTTTGAGAATAGTGTCTTTGTAATACAGCTTGAAATCTGGTATTGAGATCCCTCCTACTTTATTCTTCTTTCTCAGGATTCCTGTGGCTATTCTGGGTTTTATTTTATTCCAGACGAATTTTTGAAGAGTTCTTTCTAGGTCTGTGAAATAAGCTGTTGGTATTTTAATGGGACATGCAATGGATCTATAGATTGCTTTGGGTAGTATAGAAATTTTAATGATGTTAATTCTACCAATCCATGAACATGGTATGTTCTTCCATCTGTTTTCATCTTCCTTTATCTCTTTTGTCAGTGTCCTGTAGTTTTCCGTGTATAGGTCTTTTACCTCCTTAGTTAAGTTTCTTCTAAGTATCTTATTTTTTTGGTGTGATGAAAATAGGATTGCTTTTTTAGTCTCTCTTTCTGTAAGTTCATTATTGGTGTATAGAAATGCCATAGATTTCTTCGCATTAATCTTGTATCCTGCTATATTGTTGAATTCATTTATTAAGTATGTTAATTTTTTGATGGAGTTTTTCGGTTTCTTTTGTACAATATCAAATCATCTGCAAATAAAGACAGCTTTACTTCTTTTCCCCCGATTTGGAAGCCTTTTATTTCTTCTTGTATGATCCCAATGGCTAATACTTCCAGTACTATGTCAAATAGGAGTGGTGAGAGTAGACATCCCTCTTGTTCCTGTTCTTAGGGGAAATGGTTTTAGTTTTTTGCCCATGATGTTAACTGTGGGTTTATCATATATAGCTTTTATTATGTTGATGTATGATCCTTCTATTCCCACCTGTTGAGAATTTTTATCAAGAAAGGGTGTTGGATTTTGTCAAATGCTTTTTCTTCATCAATTGATATGACTATGTGGTTTTTATCTCTCAATTTGTTTGTGATGTATCACGTTTATTGACTTATGGATATTGTACCAACCTTGCCATCCTGGGATAAATCCTACTTGGTCATGGTGTATGACTTTCTATGTACTGCTGGATCTGATTTGCTAGAATTTTGTTGAGGATTTGGACATCTATCTTCATGAGGGATATTGGCCTCTAATTCTCTTTCATTGTGTTGTCTTTATCTGGTTTTGGTATTAGGGTGATGGTGGCTTCATAGAAGGAGGTTGGAAGTGTTCCTTCCTCTTGAATTTTTTGGAATAGTCTGAGGCAGATTGGTTTTAGTTCTTCTTTGAATATTTGGTAAACTCCCCTGTGAAGGCGCCTGGCCCTGGCTTTTTGTTTGCCAGAAGCTTTTTGATGACTGCTTTCCCCTCCTCCCCCATAGTTATTTTCCTATTGAGTTGTTTAGATTTTTCCTGATTGATATTTGGAAGGTTATATTTTTCTAGGAATATATTCATTTCATCCAGGTTGTCCAGTTTGTTGGAATACAGTTGGTAATAATATATATATATATTTTAACAATCTTTTGTATTATTGTGGAGTCTGTTGTTATTTAACCTCTTTCATTTCTTATTTTGTTTATTTGGATCCTCTCTTTGCTTTTTGGTGAGCCTGGCTAGAGATTCATCAATATTGTTTATCATTTCAAAGAACCACCTCATGGTTTTGTTGATCTTTTATGTTGTTTCTTTGGTCTCTGTTTCATTTATGTTTGCTCTGATCATAAGTATTTTCTTCCTTCTGCTTAAACTGGGCTTTCCTTGTTGCTCTCTTTCTAACTCTTTTAGATGTAGGGTTAGGTAAATTATTACCATCGTTTCTTGGTTTTTTTGCAGTAGTTTTGTAGAGCTATGAACTTCCCTCTCAAGATCCTTTTCACTGTATCCCATACATTTTGGATTGTCGTGTTTTCACTATCATTTGTTGCCATGATGTGTTGTTTTTTTCTTCTTCCTTGATCTCTCTGGTAACCCAATCATTGTTTAATAGCATGCTGTTTAGTCTCCACGTGTTTGTTGTTTTTGGATTGTTTTTATTGTGATTGATTTCCAGTTTTATGCCACTGTGATCTGAGTAGATGCTTGGCATGATTTCTATCTTCTTGAATTTGAAGAGACTTTACGTATGCCCCAACATATGGTCTATCTTTGAAAATGACCCATGTGCACTTGAGCAGAATGTATATTCTGTGACTTTGTGGTGAAATGTTCTGAAGATGTCAATTAATTCCATCTTGTCTAATCAGTCGTTTAGGATTGATATTTCTTTGCTGAGTTTTTGTTTTCAGGATTTGTCCAATGGTGATTGTGGGGTATTAAAGTCTCCTACCAGAAGTGTATTGCTGTCAATCCCTCCCTTGATATCCTCCAGGAGTTATTTTATGTATTTGGGTGCTCTTATATTGGGTGCATCTAGGTTTACCAGAGTTACTTCTTTGTGTTAGATTGTTTCTTTTAGTATTATAAAAGGGCCTTCCTTATCTCTTGTTATGTCTTTCACTTTGAGACCTAATTCGTCAGATATAAGTATTGCTACCCCAGCTTTTTTTTTTTTCTTTTCTTTTCTTTTTTTTCATTTCCATTTGCCTGGGAAAACTTTTTGCTTCCCTCCCTTCACTCTCAGTCTGTGTGCATCTGTATTTCTGAGGTGGGTTTCTTGTAGACAGCAGATATCTGGGTCTTGTTTTTTTATCCAATTCTTTACCCTGTGTCTTTTGATTCAGGCATTTAATCCATTTACATTTAAAGTTATTATTGATATGTACTTATTTGTTGCTTTTTTATCTTTACCCTGTGTTCCTTCTTTGCTTTTGCTTCCTTTATTTATTTATTTATTTATTTATTTATTTATTTATTTTTACAGCAGACTTTTTTGCATTTCTTTCATTGCTGGTTTTGTGGTGATAAATTCCTTTAGTCATTTTTTCTTTGTGAAGTTCTTGATTTCACCTTCAAGTTTGATTGATAGCCTTGCTGGGTACAGTATTCTTGGATTCAGATCCTTCCTTTGCATGACTTTGTATATTTCATTCCATTCCCTTTTGGCCTGATGAGTTTCTGTTTTGAAATCAGTTTCTAGTCTGATGGGGGTTCCTTTGTATGTAACTTTCTGTCTCTCTCTAGCCACTTTTAAGATTCTTACTTTGTCATTGGTCTTTTAGAGTTCATTTTGTTTGGGGCTCTGTGAGCTTCTTGGATTTTTGTGGGTTTTTTATTCCCTATATCAGGGAAGTTTTCTGTCATTATTTCTTCAAACAGCTATTATATTCCTTGTTCAGTTTCCTGTGTTGTCCAAAGTTCCCTTAGGCTCTCCCCCTGCTTTTTAATTTTTTTTTTCTAGAAGCTGCTCTAATTGGGCATTTTCCCCAACTTGTCTTCTAGCTCACTAATGCATTCCTCTGCTTCTTCTAGTCTACTCTTGATGCTTCCTATTGAGTTCTTTACAGCAGCAATGTCATTTTTCATTCCTTCCTGGTTCTTCTTCATTTCCTCTTGATTCTTACTCATATTGTCCGATTTGTCTTCCATTGTTTTCAGCCACCTTATGACCATTTCTCTGAAATCCATCTCTGAGAAGTTGCTTGCCTCTAATTTGTTTACTTCCTTTTCTGGTGATGTTTGCTTTTCTTTCATATGCGGGCTGTTTCTTTGTCTCCCCATGGTCTCTCTGTATGCCTATATAGGTATTCATCTCTCTTCTTTCTGTGGTGGAGTGTACTTCTCCTTTGAATCCACGTGTTTGCACTAATTGGGGACTATTGTTCTGGGGCTCGTAGCTGTTCGGTGGTTGCCACAGTTGTAGCTTTTAAAGCTTCTGATAATATCTTCTTTCCCCTTCAATATGGCGTGGTCTTTGTATCTGATCCCATAGCTCCAAAGGGGATCCAGCAGTAGTGGGGGCTTCTTGGTCAGGGGAACCCTGTCCAGAAGTCTGCCACGTTCTCCTGGAATTTTGCTGTCCCTTAACTTGCCAACAAATACTCCCTGTGTGACCCTCAGCTGTTCTTTCTGTCTGTTCCAGGAAAAGGCTTGGGACCCATCTGTCTATTCTGCCACCAATTTTTTTTTCTCTTCATATATTTAAAAGCATGATTCTATTATCTTCTGGCTTCTGTTTTGTTTTTTGTTTAAAAATTATCTTTATTGTTGAAAATGTTATAGATGTCCCTTCCTCTTTTTTCTTACTTTGTAGTTAAAAAGTACAAAACTGATTTTTGAAGCTTTGTTTTCTACTTTCCTCTACCCCGAACCAAAAACTTCTAGGATCCTCTCTCTCCCCCCTCCAAATTGTCTGAAATTTAATAAGCTTTTTAGCAGGCTCATTTTCATTCTTTATACTGTGCACTAATTGGACCCTCGAAATATGAACATTCATATTTTTCAGGATGGGAAATTTTTCTTGTATTATTTCATTGATGAGTTCTTCTTTTCTAATTTTCTATTGTGTTCTTTTGTATTTTCTATTTTTAGATTTTTTTTGCCTCCTTGATTGGTACTTTAATTTTCTTATTTTTTCTCTATTTTACACCTTTTGTATTTCTGTTCTACTTTGTGTGAGATTTTCATGATTTACCTGCCAGTTCTTTGCACTTTTTTCCCCATTTTTTATTGTGTTTTAAATTTCCAAGGTGTGTGTGTTTGTGTGTTTGCTCTGAATGCTCTCCAAACCCTTTCTGACATCATCCTATTCTCATTTCTTGAATCATATTTTAGCTCTCTGATGATATTTACAGTATTGTTTTCTGAGAGAGGATTTTACTGTCCCTGTGGAGTCTCTGTTCTCTCCATGTAAACTTTAACTGTTTCTTTGTTTTGATATATATCTTTCAGGTTATAAGCTTTCATCAAATATTTGTAATGTTTGGCTTTCTGCTCATAGATAGGTAGACTAAAGAGCTGATTGGAAATTCTAAGAGCAAAGGTGAAATTTCTGACTGAGAGCTTCACAATAGGTAGTATGGACAGTCCCAGGTTATACCTGTTGTCTCAGCATAATCCCAGCTAATAAAGAGGAATATGCATATTGACTGTCACTCAGCCACAAAGATGGTGGCACCCATAGCCACAAGATGGTGGCACCCAGTCCTCTTCTTCCCACCAGAGTCCCCCAGTCCCTGGGGGGGGGGGGTGGCTGCTGAGAGTGGGCAGCATGAGTGCCTGGCAGAACGCTTGTTTCATCACCATTGTGACAAGGCAAGCATTCAGCACCCAGCCACAGGGGGCATCTGGCCAAGCCATGCATGGGACACTTGAATTATTGCCATGGTTATGAGGCAAGCATTCCGTGCCCAGTCACTGAGGGCCTCTGGCCAGAAAGGGCAGTTGAGGGCCATGAGGCTGGCCAGGGAAAGCAGTTGGGGGCCATGAGGCCAGCTAGGGACTCAGTTAGAGGCATGAGGTCAGCAGGGGGGGGGCAGTTAGGGGCTCTGAGGCTGGCAAGGGAGAACATTTGGGAGTCATCAGGCCAGTGTGGAGGGGCAGTTGGGATTGAGCAGGCCAGCAGGCAGAATGGTTAGGGGCGATTGGGCAGACAGGCAGGCGAGCAGTTAGAAGCCAGTGGTCCCAGATTGTGAGAGGTATGTCAAACTGCAGGTTTAGGCCTTATTTCACAGGGACATCCCCTGGCAGTTGGACATCCCCCAAAGGGTCCCAGATTAGAGAGGGTGCAGGCCTGGCTGAGGGACATTTTGCCCCCCACCCCCAATGCACGAATTTTAGGCCACTAGTTATTAATAAAGCCTCCTTTTATTCTAAAAAATGTTCTATTTTGTATGATAAAATATATGGTCATGCTAAACACAGGGTGATCTACATGGGCCATTTGTTAGGAAACTAGATGTCAGTATCCTTAGGTTTTTTTTCATCTTTGGCTGCTCAAATTTCCCAGGGAATATTCTTTCATGCTCATACCTGGAGGTAAAGGTATGACCACCAACATTGAAGAAACTGCCAAAATAAAATGTTTATAAATAATAATAATAATAATAATAATAATAATAATAATAATAAAAACATACTCAAACAAACTTAAGGCTAAGTGCATTCAAATAACATTTTGAGCATGTGGACATTACTTATAGTCATTTAAGAAGAAATTTTAGAATAGTGTTGCTAGATTAGATATGCAGCTGATTAATGTCCAATAAGGCAATTAAAACTATAATCTTGGAATTTATCTTTTCTACAGGAAAATAATTATGTGCATCTCTACTGGTTGAAACCTGCAAATTAACATAACTTTGCAGTGACTTAACCCTTACTATAATGGAAAGTCAAATAAAGATATATTTCTCCAATGTTTCATATGATGTTAAGAGGACATGCTATACTCTTTTGTCTTATTTTCAACTTTTGGATAATTTTTCTGAGCAGACATAAAGGGAGTTCAGCATTCAGGATTAATTTCACATAATCCTATGTTCCTTTGACATTTAAATTGTCAACTGTTCATTATATCCTGCAGTCCAGAGACTCTCTGTTTTATCATCTTTAGAGAACAAATTTCTAGTTTTCTGCTGAGGTGGAGGAGGGACTTAAAAGTATGGAGTTTAAGGAATACATCTAGGAATATAATTCTTAAATAGCTTTCCATCAATTTTATTTTAAAAGCCTCCACTTTATGTGTAGTTCCAGAGGCAAACAGTTATCCTTTTGATGATTCTGCAGGGTTAACCAGGTTGTCTCTCTCAGCTTTCTCCACTGCCAGTTCAGAATTCATCTTTCTTATATTTGCTCACCAGTTAATCTTGATCTATCTGCTTTCCATCTTCTATATTATTTTTTTCATTTTTCTCTCCTTGTGGACTTTATGCTTCTAAATATATAATTTTATTGCAATTTAGAGGTATTTCAGAGGTTTGATAAACTGTGAATGTCAGTATCTCTGGGACTTTCTTCCTAAACTGATAAGATTTCCCAGCGAATGTGATTCTAATCACCTGCCTCATAGTAAAGATCTGGGTGCCAACATTCCAAGAGTTGAGTAGGGGAAGATGGATGACAGGATATTCCTAACTTACTATGCATAAATTCATTCAATACCCCTTATTTTGGTATAGCACCATTACCTTTGAACGAACTACTCCAAAAGCTTTCACTGGATCCAAGAAAATGGGTCATGAAATTAGATGTATGTGCTCAATCCACCAGCATCTTGACCCCCAACGTTTGATTCCTTCTTTCTTTTTTTATTAAAATCTACAGGGTTGATTATAAATAAGAAACTTTAGGTACTCAAATTATTGACTTAGGACAATACCAAACATGTTTTATGCGAACTAAACATTTTACCTATTTCCCTACCACAAAATATGCACAACTAAGACTGTTTTGGATATATATATATATATATATATATATATATATATATATATATATATATTAATATCTAGCACTAACTAGGTGTTAATTATTTGTCACTACTATTTTAAGATAATAACCAGTTTTAATAGGCAAATTTTTGTTGAACTGATGAACTCTATCAGTAGGTCCATATCCTGTGTGTTAATATGTCCATTTATTTTATTTTAGTTTTCACTGTATAATTTTAATTAACTCAATAAACCATATGGTACAGCCATCTTAATTCAGTTGGTGAGACTTTCTGCTCCATGACCTCTAGGATAGCC